GGAAATGGTGGCGACCTGCTGGGAGTGTCCGCTCGCCCCAGCTCGGGAGCCAGCCCGCGGGAAAAGGGCCCCGGAGCGCTCCTGCGGGAGGCAGAGCCACGCTCTGGCTCGGAGTGCGGGAGGGTTCAGCGGGGCTCTGCCCGGCCTGGGGCGCCGGCAGCACTCTCTTCTTCTGAGGCCTTGCTGGAAAACAGGCTTCAGATGGTTAATGTGCAAGCCCCGCGGGAGGGAGAGGGATTGTCCTAAGAGGAAGACAGGATAAATGATCAAAAGATGAGGAGAGTCGGATTTAGAAGAGTCCAGATACTTGAGGTGGGAGCGCAAGTGAGACAGGCAAGGGTGAGGCTCTGAAGCAGGAGAAATTAGATTTGGGTACAGTCTCCCCAGCAAAAGGCATTCTTGTACAGAACCGTGTCTGTCAGAAAAGAGACTCTTGATGCCAAGGAGTTGTAAGAGGAGTTAGCGAACGCTTACAGAGCTGGTTGCTGGTGTAGTGTCAGATGTGATTTCCAAGCCCATTCCTGGCCTTGATGCAGAGAGCTCTATGAAAAGAGGAACCCATGATCATTTTACTTAACCTTGTGCCCCTGTGCCATACTGAAATATTTCCATGTGAATTCTTGTGATTGTTGCTCTCTGTGCTGCACCTCAGCCAGAGAAAAATCTCCCCCCGCTCATTGGCATCTTGTGAACAAAAGACATAGCAAACATTTGGTGTGTCACCCCACTGGCGGGTTATGAGAGTATTCCCATCACTCCAACAGAAGAAATTCAAATATAAAAAGATGAAGTTTTTTCTGCTCAGACTTTTTTAGCAAGAATTTACCTCATTGGGAAGGTAATTTGAAGTATGTAAGAACCTGCTGTGGTATAGTGCACAGGCGATCCATACTGCTTTCCACGAGGAACTCTGGAGAAGCATGTGATGTAACATCCTTTGTGCAGTTAAGAGTTACAGGCATCTGTGGCAGCAAACAGAACATATCTTGTATCCTGATTACAGTCCTTATTCTAACTCCGTTAGACTTTTCCTTCCTTTAAAGATTTCCTTCCTCTCTTCTGACTGTCCTGAGCCTGGGTGAAGGCTGAAAACATGTTTCAGATCCATCAGAACATGCACTACTTAAGTTCCTGACTAAAAGGGCCTGATTTGGCCAAGAGAGGTGAGGGAAATGGAAGGAAGAAGTTAAACAAGAGTCCATTGCATGAAGGGAGGGAAATACTGTGTTCAGTCTCTGGGTTTGGTCTTAACGTGAAGTACTTCCACTGTTCTCACGTTATAGTCTTGGTGTCAGAGGGTTACACTTAGGGGACACAAGTCGTATGAGCTCTTGCAATAACAGGTGAAATTGGGCTGTCCACTTTTTTTTTTTGTGTGTGTGTGTGTCTGCTAGCATCCCTGGGAACCAGATCTATAAACTCTATTCAGTCATCTGCAATCTGAGATCCCATTCCCAAGCTCACTAGGCATACAGCTGAGAGTATGCTGGATTGCAGGAAGGAGCACGGATGGATGGGCTCTGTTTCCCTAGCTCCTTTTCCCCTTTAGGAATGTGTTTTTATCTCTGAGGGCTGCTTATATCACCACCCGCCTCCATGCCATCGTGTTTCTTCAAATGGCTGATGCAACAGATGAGAATTAGGGCAATGAGTGTACTCTGCCGAGCTAGCTCCTTTGAAAGGCCAGGTACTCTCCATATGCTGGAGGATGAATGAATAGGCCTTTTTAGGTGTTGGGAATTGGACACTGGCTTGCCTACTCTGAAATTCTTGGCCAGTGTTGGGTGTTGGGAGAAATAACTCTCAAAAGAGTTGTCCATAAACTAAATACTGTAAAATGACTGCAGGAAGGCAGTGAATAAGACTTTATAAATATGTTCACAGATCAGCTGCAGGGACTGTGTCTTTCACTGGGGTGTGATTGCTCAGAGATCTTCTCTGGCCTCTGTTTTCTTCCAGGAGATTTGGGGTGAGTGGGCACTGAGTGAGCCGTGCCAGGGTGGCAGGACATAGCTGATTGGCCATACATGCTAGGCTTGAGAGTGCCACCCTCCTGTAAGTTGTTTCCTTTCCAGCAACACGGTGGAGTATTGCTTTGAAGCTGCTGGGACCATCAAATGGGTGCACACTGGAAATACAAAGTGATGTGTGCTTGCTTCGTTAAGAAATGATGGATTTTAAATGAGGTGGTTACGAGGGCAAAGACAGGAAGAGTTGCATCTAATGGGCTCATATAAAGAGAGAGGGGAAAAAATACAGTTTCTTCAGTCAGGCTAACAACTGGGATTGGTATTGCTCCCATGTTACTTGCAAAAGAAAGATTAGGGAGGTGTTTGGATACATATAAGCACCATAAAACAAACTGTTGCTAAACTAGGCTGGCCAGAAAGCACCTCTGTGATACCGGTAACAGTGGAGCTTTGTCTGTGCCTCACTCCCATCTGCCTTGTCTCATGCACAGCATGGCCCACTTAGTACCTGAAAATCTCTGTTGTTCTCAGGATCCCCCTTCTAAAAGCAGAGTCCCAATCCCATGCATACAGCCAGCCTGCTGGGGTGCATGAATCTAGGAGTGGGGTGATGCAACCCCTCCACACAAGTGATGAGGGACCAAGGACGTGTTCAGTCAGTCTGTTAAGCCTGGCAGAGGTATGTGCTCTGGGAAATCTGGGCTCTCTTCCTAGCTCTCTATCCAGCTTTCAGAATAACTAAAGGGAAAGCAGAATAGATCTGATTTCCTATCTTTTCTGTCACAAATAAATTCTTCTCTGCTTTCCGGAGGATTGTGAAGACTGCCTAGTATTTATAGCCTTTCTGAGATGTGCAGTGGATGATGCTGGGTAAGAACAAAGTGTGAGGGTCTCCTATCCTGTCAGTGTGAGATTGAGGGATGGAGACCTTTTTCCTCTCCTCCTCTTCTATTGCCCCATTAAAATGCTGTAGACCTGATGCAAAAGAAACTGTAGCCCAGTCTGGGCTGCAGGCCCAGATCTGAGAGAGAGAGAGCATGCTGTACTTTCATCAGTTTAATCACTTGAGGTGCAGAAGGCTCTTTGCATTAACTAGTCACTTGCTGAACTGGGTGACATTACACTGTCTCAGTGTTTCACAGCCCTTTGAGGAAGAGGGGATCTGGGGGTCTGTACTAGTGAAGGGAGGAGTAACTACCCAGAATCATTAACCTGTGCTGTCAACATGCACTTAATCGTCTGTCTCCACTCAAAAAGCATGCAAGTCTCTATGCTGAAGAAATGAAACAAAGTTAAACAGTCAGCCTGTCCTGGTTGTTACCTCCTTCATTGTTTCTGCCTAAAAATGATTTCCTGTGACTCAGTGTGTCAGCTCAGAGCATCCAAACTGACTCAGCTTGTGTGATTCCAGAGACGGCTCCATCCCTGTGCCACTCTCTGGAGCCTTCCCTGTTCCTGCTGTGCTGAACAAACCCAGTTTCACATCTGCTCCTGCCATTCCTGTGCCATCTCCTGCAAGTGAGCCAGCCAGTGTCTTTGCTTTTTCCATACAGGGTACAGAAATGAGGCACTGAACATGGCAACTGGCACCTCCCAAGAGGTGGTAGAAAAATGGGTAACAGTGGCCAAATGGTGCTACTTAGTTTTCGAAAATAAACAAAAGATCAAAACACAGGAGAAAAAATGGATAGAGACTTGAGTTTAGCTCAGTGTTTACTTGCTGATAGTGTTTGGAGCTAGACTGAGAAACACTTACAGATTACGGTTTCCAGAGGCAATAACAGCCCATCTCTCAAGGTTAAGCAGTCTTTGGCCCCTGTGCTGTGTGGGCACAAGCAGAGTGCAACCATGTGGCAAACCAGGACAGGGAACTGATCTGACTGAAAACTACCCATGCTTGCTGGCTCAGCTTTCAGCTGTTTCAGGTGCCTGACTTGGTTCACCAGTCACTTGTGCCAACCCAGGGCAAAAGGAGGAGGTATGGAAATGAATGGCCACAGAAATACACGTCGAGGGTGATGAGTGGCTAAGCAGCACTGCTGGCTACAAAACCATGGCCAGCAGAGGCAGTTGTGCACAGCAGGAGTGGAAGGCCCAAGGGAAGATCTGGTTCTGACTCACTCTTTCTTAACTGGGGATAGCCCAGCTCTGGGGCAAGTCTGAGGAGGAACTGAAATGCTAAAAAACAAACTTCTGTAAAAAACTGCAGTCTGGTACCAGAAGAGTGTGTGCAAGGCATGAGATATTCTTCAGAGGGAGAATGCTGGGCTGTTTCTCCAAGACTGTCAGTCACACCAATTTGTGTCTTCTCCATTATATTTGTCCTGTGGACAGGACCCTTCTCTTTTCTTAGACACGTTTTCTCAGCTGCTGACAAGGCTGCAGTTATGGTACAAATGGTGAGGAAAATCTGAGTGGATCTGTAAGGCCAAGGCCTCAGAATGGGACAGCAGTCCCAACAGTGAACTTTCGGAAGTCACTCTGACCACATAATTCAGAACAATCGGCACTGCAGGGGGGGCAGTCATGATGCTATCAAGCCTATGTCCTAGTCAGTGCCAGCTCACCTGAGATGCCAGGAGGCAGTGAGAGACCTTCATACAGGCCTGTTCCATGCTTTGGCGGCTTTGGGGAAACTCATTCTCCGTTTCTGCCTCTCTCTTTTCTTCCCTTATTTTTGTTTTGTGCCTTCCAGGTTGCATACTCAAACGAGGCCAAGCTCCCTCGGGTGATAGCTTTCCTGTCTTGCATCTTGCCTTGTCAGTTAATTTTATCTAATTCTTCAAATGTAATAATGCCTAAATGCAGGACCTTTTCACACAGTTTCTCTTGCAGCTCTGTGGTGGTGCTTCCTTCTGAATCCCTTCCCAGTTGTCAGTGTGGAAACAGAGGAATATTCCTAGTGTGGTCACTTTGGGAAGCAAAAAGGGGCTCATTTCAGAAGAACATGCTCCCTGTAGCTATGTGCTACTGAATTCAGAAAGAGGCTGGAGAGGTTTGCAAGCAGTGCTTTATGTTCTGCTCTTCATTTCAGATTCCCATACCAAGTGTGCCTGCATTCCAGCCGTCCACCCCCATCCCTGAGCGCCTGGAAGCTGTACAGCGCTACATCAGGGAGCTTCAGTATCCTTTACTGTGACTTCAGTCCCTGTTTGATAACCCAGGAAGAGGGAGCAAGGGGATGTTCTTTCCCTGTGAAGAACAGAAAAGCTCATTCTGTTGTAGCTGGAAGGGAACAGAAACTTGATCCCTGAAAACAGGAAGCTGGACTTGGGATGATGGTTTGTTATGCTGCTCTGTTTCTTTTATTTTCTGCCTAAGTTACCTTCTGATCTTGTTCAATCCATGTAGCAAAATGGCATGTTGTCAAGGGCCTTTCCCCACTACCCACCTTTCTAGATCAGTGGCTTTACAGTGCCATTTCATTAAAAACACGCCTATCTGAGATCCTGACAGCTGGGTCTCAGACTACAAACTGTGTCACCTCACTGTTACAGCATGGGTGAGCTGTGGTGGTGAGAAAACTGCCTCTCAGGTTATCCTACTTGAACACTCTTCTCTGTAGCTGCCTAAGGGACAGTCAGCCACCCTGCCTCTTTATATCAAGAGCTGCCTATGTGACATGCCTTTTGTGCTGGACAGCAGATATGTGCCATGCAGGCAGGCTAATCTCACTGAGGAGACACAGAGCTAACTCTGGCTTCAGCCCTAAAACAAGGTAAGAATGCAGACCTTCTGGCACCTCTCACCCTTCTAAGGTGGTTGTGCTCTGGATTGAGTCCCGGTCAGTCTTAGAATAAGGCACCATGAATGTTTCAGTGCTCCGTGCGTTCTGTGCAGACCAGAGCAGACACAAATCTGTCAAACTTTGTTTTGCCCTGGTAACTGGAAAGCTGAGCAGAGCATACGCTGTCAGCATGGACCTTTGGAAAAATGGAGTGGAAACCTGTGTGTGGGGAGGAGAAAAATTAACAAGAAGGAAATACAGTCTAGGTAAGGTGGGATTATAAACAGAAGAAAAGCAGGAGAGGGAGGTGGGGGTTTTCTTGTGTTGCTGTGATCATAACTTTGCTGTGAGAATTGTAAGTATCATGAAAGTTCTTTAGACAGGCTTTCTTCAAACTATCATACTTTCCAAGCTGCCAAGCCCTTAACTTCTTGCCTCCAGGTACAATCACACTGGGACACAATTCTTTGAGATTAAGAAGAGCAGACCTCTGACTGGGTAAGTGCTGGCAGCTCCTACAGCATTGAATCCTTGCTTTAAGATGTTGGGGCCTTGCTATACCCACTGCTATTTCTTCCATTCCCTGGCCAAGGTCTGTGTGGCACTCGAGTCTTTCAGTACTGCAGCTCCATCTTACTTTAGGTGAGTTCATTGTCTGTTGCCTGGGCACAGCTGGGCAGAGCTGTGTCTGGCCTTTCTCAAAGACAAGAGTAGGTTTTGTTGTCACAAATCAGTAAATCCAGTAAAATAAGGTATTTCAGAGATGTGCAGATTCTGCCTGCTTCCAATTGGAATATGAGCTCCTGGTGGATTCTGGAATTAGGTCCTGCTCTAAACAAGCTTTGTAAAAGCCAAGTATCTTTACAGGTCTAACTTCATAGTTGCTGTGAATACCTTTGCAAAATATAGGCTCACTAAACTTTTGGTGTCTCATACTTTGAAGGAGAAGGGGGATTCTTCTGACTGCAGATTTTGGCAAGAGCTGTGCCCCATAAGTTCCTGGAGAAAAGCACCTGATGTTCACTGACTCTCTTGCCAGCATATTGAGTCTCCCAAGACTGGGATTGGTCTAGTTATATTATTATTGGTCTAATCCATAGACTTATATGACTCCAAATGTCCTGTGTTGTAATCAGTGCAATGTATTTACTGTCCACAGTATTTACTGAACAGAGAGTAGGCTTGATGCCACAGAAGAGGGCTTCACTGTCCTTGAACCTTGTGAGGCAAACACTGCTGACTCCTGGTCCTTTGAGGCTTCTGCTTTTGGTCACACTGGTGTCCATCCAGAACCCCCTGAGCCAAGTGCTGTGGTCTCCCTGAGAACGGAGACTGGCCTAGTAGGCAGCTTTGTGGTAACTCACTGAAGGGATTTCCTTGTAAGCAGTGACAGCATGTGGTAGAGTCCTGGTTTGGATTTAATATCTTCCTAAAGAAGATATTTTCTTCTGTTCTGTGTCCTCAGTGGGTCATCTTCTCTCCTGAAACCTACCTTACCTATATAGCGCAGAGGGGCTGAACTGGCTGTCTTGCATAGCACAAGCCCTCTAACAGTCCTTGTCTTTCCCTTGTCCCACTCTGCAGGCTGATGGACCTGGCCAAAGAAATGACCAAAGAGGCCCTGCCAATAAAATGCCTGGAAGCTGTGATCCTGGGAATGTATCCTTTCCTCTTGGAATTGTGCATGTCTGCCCATCCTTGTGTTTTCTCCTCTGCTGTCTTATGATGCTTTGAGGCTACTGATAGTATTGTCACCAGGCCCCATATCCCTCTGTCTTCCCTCCCCAGTTCTCAAAAAAAAACCCCCACCAATAAAATCCAAATCCAAGCAATTCTCTGAAATACTAGAACTAGTTCTTCAGAGTTGCTCCTCCTTCTTAAGTAGGGTGTTGCTGCTCTGGACAACTCTACAAGTGAGTAAAAGATAAAGAAAAGCTCTAAGTAACATCTAAAGAGAGGCAAAATATAGCTAGAGTTAGGGCAGGAAGTCCTTTGTGGGTAACACTGTTCCCTTACTGCAATGTTGGCTGCATGTGTTCTACATTAAAGTAAGTTAGGGATCCTCCCCAACTTCTAATCATGGTGTGTGTCACTTTACTATTATGACTAACACTGCCTGCCATCTTAGGCAATACCTTTAAATTCTAGACATGTGTTGTCTTTAAGTACACCTCTTTCCTATCTATCTTCCAGGCTTAGACTGTGTCACACAGGCAATAGATTCTTGATGCATACTGGCAAAGACATCTGGAGGAGCACAGATGGCAAGTTCAGAAGGGCAGTCTGAGTATTTTGTCCTGAAGGTTCCTCAGTTTGTGTGTCAAACAGTAGCTAGTAAAACAAATTGAAACCAAGTGAGGAATAATGCTACAGTGTTAACAGTTTGGGCACTATGGAATACAGCACACTTGACATGTTAGCATTACAACTTCTGCATAACAAAACTGCTTCGAAATTAACTTACCTTTGTTGATTGTCTTATTGAAGAGGCCAAGTCTGGTTTTCCCATGACACAGAATAAAGTAGGGCAGCTGGAATCTTGACCTGGAGAAAAATCTTGCCTATGTGATGCCTGAATCAGTGGTGAATCTCCTGAGCAGGCTGGGAGGGTTTGGAGCAGGAAGGATCTTGTCAAGAAAATGGTATCACTGGTTGTTTCCTGAATAGTGTCTGCTGTCAGTTACCTCACCAACAACATGACCACGCTGGACCGTTTCCCCATCAGCTTCAAAACCCACTTCTCAGGGAACTACTTCAGACACATTGTGCTGGGGGTGAACTTTGGAGGCCGCTATGGGGCACTGGGCATCAGCCGACGTGAGGAGCTCATGTACAAAGCACCTGTCTTCCGCACACTGAGCGAACTCATCTTTGACTTTGAAGAGGCATATCGCCGCTGCTGGCACACTCTCAAAAAGGTGAAGTTGGGCCACTGTGTGTCCCATGACCCACACAGTGTGGAGCAGATTGAGTGGAAGCACTCCATCCTGGATCTAGACAAGTTAACCCGGGAAGACTTCCGCAAAGAGCTTGAGAGACATGCCCGTGATATGAGGCTGAAGGTAATTAGCAAGGATGGAGTAGTTGTTCACTGCTGCATCTGCCGTCTTACTTGGCTGATGGTGTGCTGGGGGAATGAAGTGGCAGGAGCCTGTCCTAGGTGGTGGTGGACTAGAAGGTGAATTGGAGGCTGGGGGCTCTTTTACTTTGTATACAGGCTGGTCCCTTATGGATGCTCATGCAGTACTGCAGTTGTGATGAGCTTGGACTGTATGCAGTCCTTGGAACCATAGCTATCACTGTAGCTTGTTTTTCTGACTTTTGCATTTTTGATGCACTTGCCTTGCCTTTTTTATTCCCATATAATTAATCATGTTTAGGCTTTGTGTTTTCTGGTTACTACTCATACTTCTTTTCTGATCATGTTGCTCTTACTTTTAATTTTTCTGGCAGATTGGCAAAGGAACTGGGCCACCATCGCCCACCAAGGACAGAAAGAAAGATGTCTCCTCCCCACAAAGAGGTCAGGCCAGCCCCCATCGGCGCAACAGCCGTGGGGACCGACGGTGAGTAGGGTTGCTGATCAAGGAGACCTATCTAGACCATCTCTGGTTTACTCACAGACTCCCATCTTGCTGTCTGATTTTGGATCCTTCTGATGTCTTACTGGAGTTCTTTATAACAGGGGATGCTTCTCTCACCTGCAGAAGTATTCTTCTCTAGTCTGTGCCTTTGAGTTTATCATTGCTGGGGGAGTGGGGGGACAGCTGGGGTTTATTTTGTTTTGGCAGGGAGGAGGAAGGCAGCTCAGTGATCCTGGTAGCTGATATTTAACCTTACATAGGGGTCTGAGCATTGGTGTCTCCTAGACCTGTGCCCCAAACAGATTTCAAAAATTACACTGCTGTCAGTGATACTGTTTTCCTGAAACTGAACTGGGGTACCAGCATGGACTTCTTACTCCTCTTAACCTGCAATCAATTCTGTGGAGTCAGTGGGAGAGTTGCTGGAGGTTGCAGAATAATCCTGCCCTTGATAGTGTAGGATAAGTCTGAAACTTTCCTGTAACTCTTCCTTTGCTGCCATCTCTATGTGCAGCCCCTCCTGACTGAAAAAACAGTTCCTGAATATTTCTTTGTTCACAGGCCATCTGGTGAGAAAAAGCCTGCCGATTCCAAAGCCATGCCAGACCTCAATGGGTACCAGATCCGGGTGTGAAGAGAGCTGTACCTTGCGTGCCTGGCTCCACAGACTTCTTTCTGGCCACAACTGGGACCTGGATCCACCTGCAGTGATTCTGACAAAGGGGACAGGGGAGCAGGAGCGGAACAGAGTGCTGATCTTCCAGGTACTTCCTAGTGGGCCAGTCCCAGAGCTGGATCCCATGGGTCCCAGAGGATTCACCTGCCTGATTCTGGGAAAGGTGTCCAACTTAATTCACTGAAACAAGTATTTTAAAAAAAAAAAAAAATTAAAAAGATCTGTACATTGGTGGGAGTTTGCTGCAGGAAGAATATGAAGTGCGTGGGGTCAGCAGACCTGCTATCAGTTTTTTTTATGTTAGCAGCAAGTAGATGAAGCATCTTGTTGACAGTACTTCTTCCCTGTCTGCACAGAAGTCTTCAGCCCATGCAAGGCCTGCAGGGCTGAGTAAGAAGTGATGCTGGAATGGGATGGCACCCACGTCTTGTGCAAAAACTCAATTTTGTCATTATGAACACTCTGTTTAGCATTGGTTTTGTGAGAGACAGGGCTGAATTTGCTCAGCCTCCTGATTTATTGATCATACAAAGGCCACTCATCTGGAGAAACCACATCTTGTGTGTTTAGTCCTGCCTATTTCAAAGCATTTCATTGTCTCTTAGGGGGTAGACAGTGGGATGATGGTCCTCTTTACCCACTGCAATACTGGTGAGCTGTTGCTCTAAGTCCTTTTGTGGTTGAGTGGGTCAGGATATGCCTATGCCATTGCCACATGAAAACAGGCAGAGACCTCAATTGTCCCAACAGTGGCAGTGGGGGCAGGCAGGGCTGGTGGGAAGCTTAAACTTTAGAGTCATCTCTTCATCAGCCTTCTCTCTATTAACTTCTAGTGAGTGCTACTGTGAAAGCTTTCAGAAGGCACTTCAGTCAGTGAGGTACAAGTTTTAAGAGTAAATAGTTAAAGAAGGATTTAATGATGTTTTACAAGCAATTTTCCTTTCCACAAGGGTCTTGCTCCTTCCTCACTGTGGTGTTAGTGCTAGAGTTACAGACACTTGTTGGTGGGAAGCCCTGCTCAAGGAGATTGCAGCTGCTTTCCTGACAGCTCAGTCTGGAGCCTCCTGAAAGTAGTTCCCCACCCCAGTCCTAGAGCTGTGCTTGTTTTCTGGCTCTTTGGATAGCTGCGGCATTTGATAGCACCACTTATGCTAGCCTTCCCCAAAGGGCTGGGCTGGGCCTTTCTGCCCACTAACAGCCTTGATTCTTTCTACACTTCTTTTCAGGGGAGTGTTGTGCTACTGATGAAGCAGTGTAACGCTTGTCAGAAATCTGAAGTGTTCTCAGACCTCTCTGAGACCTAGAGCCTGGTAACAGTGGAGTTCCCAGAAGTCAGAACAGCATGGCCTTAAAGTCATCTGGATGCATGGATCTAGGCCATGCAAAAACTGAGGGTTGGGAGTGGGAGTATCCTTGAGAGAAAGTGAGTCTTATTTTATCACAGCACTGACAAAAGAGCTAAACTTTCTGAAATACTACATATTTTTGTTAGAACTGGGTTTACTCTTTTTTGTGAATTTGTTAGAAACATGATGGGGCTTAGCTCTACCAGAATTTATGTTGCAGTACTGATGTGCCACACCCTCACATAAGCAGTGTTATTTTGATGGCAGAGAATGGATTCTTACCCCCAAACAAATCAGGTTTTTTGTCGAGTGTTAATCCTGGAAGCACCACCCACAAGCGAGTGAACTCAGGCCTTACAAGTTCCTAACTGTACATCCTTAACTGTGATGTAACCCGCAAAGCACTATATCCATACTGCTGCAGTCTATCCTTCAGAGCTCTCTTTGTAGTCTGTACTTTTCTGCTATGCTGTATGACCAGGAGGACAGTCCATGGCAAAGTCACTGAACTTCCTACTGATCCAAGATAAGGTTAATCCAGAAGAGGATGCCAGTTTTCTCAGTTCAACTGAGTTCAGTTCAACTCAGTTCAACAGTGCAACATCTGTCCCTTCCTTTGCACTCCATCTACATGTAACAATTTGAAATAGGCAGCAGTAGCAATCCAAGCACCCATCTGAATCTGTCCTCTGGTCAATTTTGTGTGGCTGTAAATTAACATATTTAGCTTCTGGATGCTATTGATGATGTTAGCTGTAAAGGTACCACAGTTACCTGTCAATATTATAGGTCACTTGCAAGCCACAAACTGCCTTTGCATAATGTTTGCTATGCAGCAGACTGAAAATTCAGATGCCACTGTGAATATAATAAATACAAGCAGCAGTCAGCAAGGGAGACTGAATGTCAGGTTTTATTAAAGTGGATGAAATCCAGAAAAAAATTGTAAAAGCCCCTTAGATAAAACTAGGATGCATTCTCACCATGACTTTTTTTTAGTTAATTCAGAGTAACTGGAAAGCTCTTGAGAATAATTAGTAGCTTCATACAGAGCACATTCAATAACTGGACAGACTTGATGGAAAGGACGGGAAGTGTGTTGGGAGGAGGAAGACTTCAAAACAGATGGGGCAAGTGAGGGGTCAGCTGCAAGCTAATGATGCTTTCTTGAGAGCAGGGCAAAAGAGATGTTCAGCAGTGTTAGATCACCAGCACAGAATGGCTTAAAACAAAATGCTTTGTTTGACCTGGTAATTAAGCACTTTCCTGCAGGATGTGACTGAGGCCAATAGCTTAGAAAACCAAAGGAAGTGGATGTTTTAAGAAATGAATGACAGGCTGAGTTCAAGGTCTCTTAATCCTCAACTGTAGCCAGCCAGGAATATGCTCTTTCAAGATTTAGTTTCACAATTATGTACATTAGGAAGCATTTACTTCTTATGTATCTAATATTGATGACTTCTCAAGATGGACACAGGAGCAGACATGAGCCCTCTACTAGGGTTACTATTTCAAGCCTTCTGTTATGTTTCTCTGGGTGGTAGAATTTCTGCCCCTTAGTGTTTCTGTATCTCTAGTTTAGCAGATGCTGCAAGAAACCGGAAGAAAGTGACCAAACAGTTCTCCCCTTCTTGCAGTTGTTCCCCGCCTTTGTAACAAGATAAGTCACTTCAACACAAAGTTTAGCTTCCTTGCTAACAAGACAGCATAGCAGCCCCCTGTCACAGCGAGATCAGTGCAATCCAGTTTTATGCCGTAAGAAACCTGAGGGAACAATGAAAGACAAACTTTCACACTTCCAGTTCTTTCCTCCCTTATCTACCTGCCCTGTCTTCCTTTAACCATAAGGAAGAAAAGGCTGGAGATGAGTCTTTTGCACTTCTGTGGTCTTCAGAGCTACAGAGAAGGAATGAAAATAAGGAACTAGACTGTAACTCATACTCCTTAGTGCCTGCAGAACAAAAAAAGATGGATCTTGAGGAGTCCTATTAATTATTTAATGTTATACGTTAATATGATCGCTCATGTAGCTCTGGGGTGTAAATTTCACTGTTCAGTAGGTGTCACCTGATGTCTGTTCTGCAGTATAAGTCCTTGTGAACTCTGTAGAACTGCATCCATACTCTAGTAATGTTCTATGTGAAGTCTAAGTGAGTTTTTAAAGACTTGGAACAGATGGTGACCTACTACTAGCAAAACTATTTCAAATGTAATGCAAACCTCAAAATAAAAGTTCCTCTTTATACTTTTATGTAGGTAAGTCCCTGGCCAACTGCAATTATTTTTATATGGATTAGAGAGCAAAACTTTCTAATACCTTGTCATTCTGATACAAACCACATATACTAAGGAGTGGAGTTGGGTGTCCATCAGTCTGTGACACACTAGCCTTTTTTTAAACTCTCATACAGTAAGCTAAATGAGTCTTTAGGAATTAAAATTATGTTAGCAAGTGTTTTAGCTGGGAGTGGAGTGGTTTTTTTCAGTTGACTTTTACCTGTGTGCCACTGTCTGTATGGGTCAGTACACAGTATGCTTGGATCTACCAGAATAAATTACTCCAGAACTGTGGCTGAAACATAAATTTCTGTTTATGCAGTAGCTGTATTGCTGTTATCAGATCTGCTTAATGTGAAGAATTTTTCTAAAAGTATTTCAGGTAAAAGCCTTAATCAGCTGCCTGCCTCTTAAGGTAGGTTCACATGTGGTGGTGTATGGACATGACTTGTCCTTAAAATTGCAGAGTTCAAGAAACCATAATGTACAGAAGAATGCTCTGTTGCTAAAGGGCAAGAGTTTGGAGTTGATGGGCTTGACCTTGCTCTAGTGGCTCTGGCTAATCATTTCAGGTGGTTGCTTTAGTCACTTGCTCCTTCTGAGTGAAGTATTTCAAGTAGTCCTGATGATCAAGCCCTAGATATAAGCAGGAGGTGCCCTGTCCCATGTGTACAGTGTGTGCACGTCTGTCTGAAATAACACCACATATTCCAGTGGTCTTGCACTGTTGTCCTGTCAACATTGACCTGCATTATGGATTTATAACTTAACCCAAGAAAGCAAGTGCTATTCTGGCTTGGTGTTTGTTCTGCCAGAGCAAGGTGGAGACAGTCCCTCTAGAGCCAAGCTGAACTCCTTAGGGAATTTAATATTTTTGTCTGTTTTCTGAGCAGGTGTTTACATGTATCACAACCACTCCCCTTCAGTGGTGCCCTGGCCCCATCTGCTCAAGAGCAACTCAACTTAGGCCAAGAAGGCTACTAAATCCCCCATAATCTCTGCAAAGCAGAGTTTTCCTCCATGTCAGGGTTGAGATGGTGCTAGCAGGACCAGAGTGGTCCCTTTCCATGCACATCAGTATTCTACTCTAGCACTATTAGGGTGCTCCAAAACTGTTTGCATCTTTATCACTGGTACAGCTCTGAACTAAGAAATGGAAGGTGTCTTTCTTTACGAACAATATTATGTGTGTCTTTTTGTAATTAATCAGTGTGGTTCTGTGTTCTTACGTAGCCAACACAGAACTTGTATTTAGATTTAGTTCTTACCGCACCTCCCATAGCCCTCATGTTGATACTTCTTCTGGCTCCCTTTGACACTTAAGACAATAAAATTCCCTCTGTACTGCTTTCAGCTTGTGCAGAGAAAACAAGATGTCTGTACTGTCTTTCTTTCCATTTTAAACATCCCCACTGTCAGTCAGCTGAGAAGTGAAAGGCACAGCCTTGAGTGATGATATCAGACAGATGATGTATAGATGCCCTGTACTTGAAACACTATGGACATGGAAGAACCCTCATTCTCCTTCAATCATCTGAACAGGTGAGTATGTCTGTACACACAGAGGCAGCTGCCAGAGAGTAATAAGTACGTATGTGGCTGCGTAGCAAAGGCTGAAACTCATCTTTGCCTCTTGAACTGCCATCAGTCAGGCTGGATCGGAAAAAAAAAAAAAGTGTATGCAAGCAACAGAAATTTTGGTTTTGAAACAATACTGTAAGGGTTAACACAAGCCTCTGCTTGCACTGCTCTACAACATATGATCCAGTCTCCCTTCCTGGCTTGAAAAGCAATTCTACTTAAGGTCTGTAGTTTAGTGGCCTTCCAGACTAATGACCTCACCAGGACTTCTCAAGACAAATGCTGGGTTAATAAAGGACAGTCAGCTGCAAGACTCAGTGCCTTTCCCCAGCAAGGGGGATCCAACTTTATTCAGACTATCATCTTTCAGGCATAACATACCCCCTCTCTCTAGGGAAATGAGTAATAGCTGGGACCAGGGCCAGGATGTAGGCAAGCCTACAGTGTGTAGAGGAAAGGAATAAATATCTCCTAACCTGTTACTCCAAAGAGAATGGTACATACAATAGTCCCTCTTAGCTAAGTTAATTATATGAACAACTTCTGCCTTGAGGGGAAGTAATTGCACAGCACCTAGTAGATGGTATGAAGACACAAAAGAAGAAAGTAGCCACTTCATAAGCCTGCATGGCCTGTGCTCAAGCCTAGGAGTTGACAGCAGACTTCAGCAGAGGTTGAAGGCTTCTTGCTCCACTATTAAATACAGAAAAGATTAATAGTATTAGAAAAAAATACTAAAATGCTGTGACTTCTGTAAACCTCTACTTTAGATGCTTGCTCAAAAATATCCTCTGCTTCATGTCTTAGATTTTACTAAAAATCAGGTCACTCCTAACCCCCTATAGACAGGTCAAGATGACTGCTAGACAATGGAGTGAGAATGGCAAAACAGTGACTTGGCCACAGCTGAGATTAAAAATAAAACTTTCTGTTCCCTCTTCAATCAGGCTTTTCCCCTGTTACTGATAGTTCCAGCAGTTGTAGGTCTTTAAGTCAGTTACAGATTATGCTACTTGGACCTTAGAGAAAAACCTTTATTGTGGAAAGGATACACAACTTAGCAAAGTAGTAATTAAAAAAAAAAAAAATTGGAAAAAGAAACCCAGTCAGCTCCTACACTGAGAAGCTGAAGACCACAAAACTTAAGGCTCTCACGTGCCTTAATCCATTAATGAGAGTGAGACTGAGCCTTAAGAGCATCATTCATGCACAGACTGCAGGATTATGGAAGGCAAAGGCCTATGTGGACAGCAGGCCTGGATTATATTTTTATTTTGGTAAAGAGTGACTGCCATCCTACCTCCAACCTCACACTGGGGGAGGAAAAGGAATAGCTTTAGAATAACTAACTTCTGCATTCATCTACCCCCAGTTTATGAATAAACTTAAGACTGCTGTAGGCAGCTTTCCATCCAGAAAGGAAGGACTAAAAACCTAAGTAGCATTACTAAGGCTTGAAGTCAAATCTTCTTTGTGTATAACAGGAAAGAATGGATGGAACAAATGCATCTTTTGTTGTAGCACATGCCAGTGTCGTGTCTAGTCCTTCTTCCATTTGCCACCTCAGCACCTTGAAAACTGTTGCTTGTCTAACCAAAGTTAGGAGAAATTTTCCATCTCTACTGTACAGCATTCCTATTCCCTTCGAGCACAAGAATGTGCAGCCTAGGTCTGAAATAATAAATACACTTTTAAATAAACAAAAGGAAGAAGAATTTCAAGACTAGAATGACATTTTCAGTAGAAGTTGGAGGACAGCTTGCCTGGACAGAAGAAGCCGAACTTGTACAGCTGCCAAAAGGAAGGAGCTTGAGGTGTGAAGCCAGCTGTTAAATCACTCATCTTGGTTATCATTACAGCAAGGTGAGTTCTCTATAGAAACTTGGTATCATACTTTGAAACACAATGCAGTACATTCAATGGCAGAGATCACACAGCTTGCACATTTCAGTGTGACACTGCTATGAAAAGCACCACAGGCCAGGCAGCTACAGTCTGGGAAGGAGCAGGTCATAGCCAGCAATTCAATTAACTTGCACAACAGGAAGCCTACTGAAAGGAGAGGGTATCCCCCTAAGGCTTGTGTGCTCCTCCTTCAGATGAGCCACAAAAGGCTTCATCTGCATTTGGATGAACCATGGATATATCTGCAAATTCCTAACAGTACATCAAATAAATGTTCATTAGTGAAGTGGTGGCAATGGGAGAAGAAATTGCATCCTGCTTTGCAGACTGTTTGCCAACACCACTCACAACTATCATTAGGAGCATAACACATACCTTGATCCACTCTTAAAAGATTCTCTCTGAGATGCCAAATTGTTTTTATAGCCTCTAAGACATTCCTCAGAGAAGAGGAACTACAGTCAATTTCAGAGTTCTGTGCTTCACAAAGCGGATAGCATACAGGGCACTTAATGATAAACTTTTTTTGGTAGTATATAACAAGAGTTATTCCCATCTAAGTGTTGGTTTCAGAGCTCTCTCCCCTCCCACTTAACTCTTCAGGGATGAGGAAACCCACTATCTTATAGCTCTTGACACTATTCAAATGCTGAGTTTATAATAAGACTTCACCCTAAAGAATTCCACCCATAGCTTTTAACTGAAGAAATACAGCTGCAGAAAAAAATAAACATCAGTAACTCAGAAAGCTAACTGGTTATGGCAGTCGTGGGAAAACAGCTGCTGGAGAGATACCTCATAAGGAACAGGCATGGAGAAAGAAGACTTCAAGCAGCAGCCAAGTTTCATTTATTAAGAAAAGGAAAGAAACCAGTGCAATGATACTGTTTACCACTCCTCCTATCCCATGTAATTGAGAAAACTGATTATAAAGGGCATCCTCCTGAAGTGATGAACTTAAAACTCTGAGAAAGTGAAGGATGTCCAACTTCTATCTAAATACCATAACTAAATACAGCCTAGCAGCTGTGGTACAATCTAAGCTGTTGTCTAGCAAAGGTACTTTGTCAAATACATGTTTGCCTCTACAGCTGCATGTTTCTGCAGCTTAGGAGACTGATAACAGGGTACGTATACAAACTGCCAGTGGACTCTCACACCCCTTCCTCTAAGTACCAGTCTCTCTGAACTCTACATCACTACTAAGTTGATGTAGATAATCCTAGCTCTATGATACCTTCCCTGTCTGAGTATAGCAGCTATTCCTGTTGTTTCACTCTCATAACCATTTACAGACTCCTCTGTAATACATCAGAAAGCTGTGCTAATGGCAACTTAGGACAAGAAACAGTGTTAAGAGCTACATCTGGAATCTTAGTTCTGTGTCCCACCACAAGTTGCTCATTACCACAGCCTCTTATTGTTTCCCTGTGTGCTATCTTAAAGAACCACAGAACATACTCTTTTCTCCCTACAACTATATACTAGTTGCTATTTTAGAGGAAGGCACTCTTTCCACCCACCCCATCTCCAATCTTCTATATTCCCCCACAATCAGAGGCATTAACAAGTCTCCAGATCTATTTGATGTTAACTCCAAATTTCTCTAGAAAACAGGATTTTTTTTTCTTTCCTGAAACAGGATAACTGTAGGAGTCTGTACCACAGCTTCAAGGGACCACGGTCAAAACAACCACAGCAATCAACTCTTCAACCCTGCCTCTGTGTGTCTGCATGCAGTCACTAGCAATGGTCTTGCATTTCTGCAATAGTTTCACCTAGGAATGCCCAAGGAAGCATGTATGAGCCAGAGTTTTCTAACCTTCAGAAAGAAGAATCAGAACACTTGCAGCATTGTCCTGGGGTTTCTCAGCACATGACTCCATATCCTGTGTTCAACAGCTTAACCATTCCAAGTTCATACCATACTATTTCATGTATCAAAAAAGAAAGCATTAGCTTGACCTGTGGAAGATTAGACTTTCCAACAAAGTACAGCTGGAACCTTAAAACCTCCGTGAGAGATGCCTTCATGCAAATTACCCAAAAGAAAAGTTAAGTCTTTGGTTTAAATAAAATGGAAGAAGCACTTCTGATGTTGAAGCACTGCTCCTGTGCCTCGGTGCAGGAGCAACCAGTCCATCTGTAGGTGTACAGCCCATCAGACCTAGCCAGCAGTAACAACTGAAGCAGATAGCCGAAGATGTGAATGCCAACACTGTGTGTCACAGCATTTTTTTGTCTTGCTTTTGGTTGGTTGTTTTCAAACCTCTAGTGTCTTCCAAGTTTCCTACTACAAAGTTACCAGCTGGTGGGAGTTATCTGCAACCAGGCTGCTTTCTGGCAACCTATTTTCAAGCCTGACAGAAAACAAAGCTCTCAGTTCACCAATTTTCAATACAACCAATTACAAAACTAAAGAGTACTTGCAGAAATTAGTCCAACTGTCAGATAAACGGAGCCATAATAATACACGGCTCCCCATGTACAAACACTAGTGTCACACCAGAACTACCACCTGTGAAACTGAGGGCAAACAAAGCCACAGACTTATTCACCCTCAGACTGCTGTTCACTTATACAGACTCCTACGTGTTATTCCAACTCAGGTAGCAAAAGCCAGCCACACGTCACCAGGCAAATACCACAACATCTGGCAGGGGCAAGAAGGGAATATACAGTCCTTACACAATCATATGGGCGCAGAACACAATCCCCACACACACACCCCTTGTTTCTGTACAGTTTACAGAAATGAGCTGTAAAAACACGAGCAGTACTCGCTTTCTTTGGGAGGAGAGGAAGGGTTCCTGAACAGAAACCATTTTGCAAGACAAGTCCGATGCCAAACAAACCACCTCTGGTATCTGGGGATGTGCTGGGAGACAACAGCGAGGCCCGCTTCATCCCTCTCTTCAATCTTCATTACTATCTTGTGTAGCTAATTTGTCCTCTCCTCTTTCACATCCAAACCCTCAAAGCCTTGTTGAGCAAGTCCTCATAGGGTTCAGCTGCCAGGAGCACCAGGTGCTGCAGTTGCTTTGTGTTTTTTTCTTAGATTATAAAAATTTTATTTTTCAGTAAGAAAGTAACATTAAAAGTATTAAAGTCTCCCAACAGAACCCAGGAAGAAGGAAGAACATTTCAAGTCTCCTTGTACCTTCCCACAAAAACGTGAGGTGAGACCAGATTTCCCTGCCCCATTTATGGTAATGTTTCTACCAATATTGCTCTAATTTCTCAGGGAAAAACTGAGCACCAAATGTCAAGCTGAACTGGTGAATCTGCCCTAGGAACAGGTACAGTTCTACTGTTTTTGTACTGGCCAAGCCACTGCTGACAAAGTACACTGATATGATACCAAAGGTACACTGGGTACCAACAACTGACAATCTGGCTCCAAGTTACACAGTCTTGCCCTCCCTCCCAATACCTGTCAAGAGACAGGAGTCAGTCCTACAGGTTCTACCTACCTAAACATGGTTGGCTCAAGAAGACAGTTGCAAGAACTTCTGTCTGGCGCAGGAGAATGCTATGGATTGGCTATCTGATGCCTGGCAGGCTGAATGGAATCAGAAGGGCACAGAGCAAGTGACAAGTAGCTCTTCCATCTGATGGCTCTGCTGCCTCTCACATGCCTTCCATTTTCATCTCTCTTTTGGGACCTCCCAGAGCTACAGGCTCCTGGCATTGCCATGCCTCACAGGATCTTTCCACCTGATATTCACGGGGAGGATTGTAAATATTTTTCCTAGAAGTGCCAAACTAGGTACCGTTCTGAGACTGCTAGAAAGGAAGGGAGCCTTCCCCAAGGCCTCTAGGCTTTTGCTGCAGTTCTAGAGCTCCTGCAGGTGGCTCTTAGAACCCCTGGCTCTATTCCTGGCAATGCCATTCCCTGGTCCATTAATCACAGCAGGCAGCTTCCTGTAGAAACTGTTCAACTACACAAACCCCTCTGCCAGCAAGGCAGCCCTTACACATTATTAAGTAAAAGCCATTTCCAAGCAGTTAGCAGAGCCAAGACCCTCAAAGGCAACATGACAACTAGTCCTGGAAGGACCACACTTCATAAACTATCACTGAGAAATTAAAAGAACCACTCTTTTGGTGTGAAAGAATACTGGTGTATACATCTCCTGCTCCTCAGTAGCAATTAACTAAGCAGAAGTAGGCAGTGTTGCCCCTCTCTTTCCCAGCTCCTTGAAGATCTCACACAGGGACAAATAAACACGGGAGTTATGTTGGTTCCTGCAGCACTAAAACATCTGCTAAACAAAACAGTGGAACAAGGATCCCTTTAAGGGATGTTAATGCCTGAATGCAACTGGAAGCCCACTGGGAACACAGCTCAGTTTTGCAGAGACCCACAAAATACCAATGCACAAAGCACTCCAACTCTCCCATCCCCGGTTTTTGTGAGGGTGTGAGAGGAGAAAGGGACTTTTAGGGCATGAAAAGGAAAAGTTTTCTTGCAAGCAGGTTGTGCATTCCAGAGCCTCAACTGCTGTATTCAGAACAGCTTTTCTTTAGGGAAAGGGAATCAACACTAACCCTCTCTAAGGCTGGAGATCTCCAAGCCAAAGCTAGCCAGCAGGCAGAGATGATCAGATGAACAAAAAGGATTTGGTAAGCCATTTGCCAGCAACAGGACATCTTCAGAGAGAAGAGAAAGGCGGCCAAGCAGCTTTAGGGCTCCGTCCTTGTACAGCCTGCGACCTGACAAAGAAAACAGAAAGAAACATCAGCCCGAGACTGGTGCTGTAGATTAACTCTATACACATATAGAAGGATGCCTGTCAATGCTTTTCTATTCTTCCCCTGATGAATGAAGACAGCCTGCACAAACACTGCATGCACCTTTGAGCCTATATATGAAAGCAGTGAGCATCCTATAATACTGCTGTTCAATGGTTTCATATACTTGCAGGCACAGGAAACAAGTACACACTAAATTCACCAGGCAGCTGCTTACACGAGCAGCTCTTTTCATAGTACTAAGTCCTAGCAATAGCTTCAGATCCTCCCCTGAGGAAGAATTAATCTCTTCATTCCTAACCTCCTCCCCAAAGCTGATTCTGACACAATCCAAACCAGCTCAGAGACAGCTCCTGGATGCATTTACATGCAGTCTTTCATCAGCATAACTCCTGTTTCAGGTAGCAGAGAGGTGGTGCCATTGTAAGGTAACCAGAGTCACCATCTTCTAAGGCCAGTGTGTGGTATCAGTCAGACCAGAAGTCCAAGCCTTGAACTTAGGACCCAGCACTACCTGTTATCAGGAGCACAAGATAGTTATACAAAAGAACAGAATCCTTTCTGTTCTAGCTTCCTCAAAAGCCTACATGAACCTAAGATAAACAGCTCCAGTTTTGCCACAGCAAAGGTAAACAGTGTCTTTTCATGATACCTGAGAAAATGCAGCTTCTACTTCATGCATCATTTCAGTTGAAGTCACACCCTGTAGATCCAGCCCAGCTTAACAAAATGCACTGCCTGACACCAAGCTGCATTCTGGCATGCCCCACAGCCCTCTCCCAATGTTACAGGGATAAGCCCTACACTGCCACACTTACCCCCCCTGTTCCCATTCTCCACAGGCTCTGCTGAGTAGAAGATATAGTCTACAGTGGCTCCAAGCCCCATGGGCATTGTTGTGACCTCTGGGCGTCCCCTCTGTGGCAGGAAGTGACTGTAGACAGAGGTCAGGTTGAGGCCATGCTGGATAACGCCTGAGGACCTGCACATGAACAGCCACCATTTACCAAGGAAAGAAAGAGAATGATGCAGTGTTCAGTACTGTAGTCACAGCTGAAGTTGGATGTTCCCTTCCTGATGTGACTGTCCAAAGTATTTCTACTTCATGATCACATAAAAGACAGTCTTTCAGAATTACTCACTCCACTTACACCAGACAAAGTGCACAATGAACTTCCAGGGTCTCCAATACCCAGTCCTGTCCAAGTCCTTCATTTCCAACCTCACCAACACAATGCTGACAGAACAGTACCCAGCTGCTGAGAGAATCCTGGGTGGATCTGGCTTTTCCAGATAGCCCTCCTTACTCTTTTCCGCCCTCACATTTATTTCAGTCTTTACTTCAGCCAGATTTTCAGTGCTCAGGAAAACCAAGACTGGGCTTGAAGAGTGGGGCCATGGAAGGTGCACCAAGTTACCTTGGGACAAATGGCTGGGGATCAGGGTCTTTCACCATGGCAGCAGGCTTGGGCCAGTGTGCAGGGCGGTCTGCAAAGGAGCAAAGAGATTCCAGCCAGACCTACACAGATCCTGGAACAGGCTGCTCATCCCAAGTCTGACAAGCTTCTCCTGAGACCAAATGAATCTTTTGCCCAAGAAGAGCAGATAGCTTCCAGTCACAGGTACCTTAAAGAAAAATATTCAAAGGGAACCCCAGGAACACCCTAAGAACAGATCAGTGCAAACAACTGAGAAATCATATTCTGTCCTGCTAAGGACATGTCCTTAAAGCATTTAATATTATCAAAGCTCAGGGTACTTCAACCTTTTCTCTCAAAGAAAGTTCATCTGCCTTCATCTACAGCTTTCTCAAACAGTGTCTAGAAAGGCAGAACAGAAGCGGAGAAAGCATTATCAGCCATGTCACAAGACCCAGAGGTAAGGCAGTGTCTACTAGGTACCAGCATCTGGAGACATATATGTTGTGGCCATTGTGACATTAGAGTTTTCAGGTTTGTTCTCTCTCACCAAAAATCTTGAAGCAGAAAAGAAGTGTATATACACATATATAATTTCGCTTTATATGAAACAGCCTCCAAAAGAGGCTGAATCTCAGTGCATCTCAAGGAACACTGTCAGTGTGTATGAGGGTGGTAAGACTACTCTTCTGAGCTCTCACAGAATCCATCAGTAATCACACAGCCATGGAACGCAGGCTTCTGCCTTCCCCTTTTCTCACCAAGCATTACCTCTACCTCACGTTTTCATCAAAATCGAGCTAGGAGAGTCACAAGCTGAAAAATCTCCCATTAATACCTGGTTTAGCATCTGTCACACCTTCCAACAGGACCAGCTGTGGTGGTCGTTCACAGGCAACATCACAAAATTGAAACTGGAGCAGGAAGTCCCGGCTGTACCTGTGTCTGCCTGCAGAGAAACATACAAGTTAAAAGAAGAAAATAATTGCAACACAGTTGCATCTACAGATAACACCTGCATCTCCATCTAAAGATGACCTTTGGCCCTCTTAGAGCTCTTTAGTTGAAGAGAGGTTTTTGTGCCCAATCACTCTGATACCATGAGAACAGGAATCACTTAATAAGAACCTAAATGTAGAACAGAACAGATGCATAAATGTAGAACAGAGCAGTTATTGCTATCTCTTTAGCTAATGCAACAGTCACGGCCAACATCTTGATGAAACAAATTAAGAATGTCACCTCTGAGACACCACAAGTTCAAGGGACTTTTAAGCAGATCGGTTAGTGTTCAACTCAAGGAAATGTTTGCCATAAAAGAAAAAGCAACTCTGGAGATCAGGCTGAATACAAGTTCTACATTCAAGATTTCAGCAAAAGCTATTTAGTGCAGGCTTCTTTTTTTAACCCTCTCTAAGGACAGCAGAGAACAGTCATGATTGCAACCGGGCTCTGAGGAATTATTTCCTAATAGTGGTGTGCAAATACCAGCCAAAACCGTTCCCAAAAATGCCTGCAGCTGAAAGCTGTGGCTGCTAAACATGGTTTACAACTGCACAAAAGCGTAAGTCTGAGAATATGAAAGAGGTATGTAGAGCAATGGTAGGGGAACATTCAGCTCCTGACTACAGAAGGAAAATGGCAGAAATCGGGCTACAGCAACAACTCCAGAAAAATTAAATTCAATTCATATACCAAGGAAATTGATAGAAGAGAACCTTTGCTTAGTGCCTCATTCAATACATGCCCAAGCTACTGAGAGAGACAGCAAGGCCCACAAACTGTCCATCCTCAGCAAACTCATGTTCTCAGTGCACACTGGAGCTCACCAGGTTTCTTTGGCTGGCACAGAGTGACATATTGGCAGTTGTCTGTTACACCCAGTGAGCTCGGCCACAGCGGAGCCAGCAGTTTCCGTGAATACAACTGTTGGGAAAAGTCTTCCTGACCCGACACCTGCAAGGAGGCCAGAGACAGGAGAGGAAACATCAGCAACACAACAGAACTTCTGCAAGCTACAATGTGCATATATACAAGTGCAACAGCAAGACAGGAAAATACTCTCACAGAAAGGCACAAACTAAGCTATTCAGAATATGGTGCAAATATAATAAACCTTCAGCTGTGGGAGATAGATACAGTTAGCTAAAAGTCCCCTGACAAGGTATTTTGCAGGCATGTATTACTGAACTGATGATTTAGCTTGAAAGCCAATGATGCAGTTGATCATCAATACACAGTAACAGGTAACCACAAGAGACTCTACCATAGGTGCCTATTTCAAACTCTTTTCAAATCAAACATTCACATAATGCTTCGGCAAATCTTGGTGGAGTTGTACTCCCCTACACTTCCAGTCACGCAGGCACAAAAATCCCATCTCAAGTAAGAACCAGGACCTGACATTAAGTGGTCTGTTATCACTGGTTTGCCTCAAGAGAAACCAAAAGAGCAGTGGTCGAAACAACACGCACACATTTGTCCGCTTCCTTCTCCACCAGTGCTGGAGGCATTAGGGAAGACTGATGAATAACCAAATTCAGTATTTGGACTATTTCCTCATGAGAGGAAGGACACAGCCATGCATTTCTCTAGCATCATGCAATAATGAGCTACCCAATTCCAGTTCTGGCTGGCACCTACCTTCCAGGCTGGCATCCCATGGTAGGAAAGTTCACCGTTCCGGATGAACTTGTAGAGTGGAGAATCAGGTACAGAGTTCAGGTCTCCACACAAGATGACAGGATAGTAGCTGCCTTTAGTAGTTTTTGCAATCTTGTCGATCTCTGCTAGGAGCAAAGCCATCTGGGCCAGTTTGATATCTCCCCGCCGGGGATTGAACAACACATGAGTGTTGGCCACACACAAAGGACTGACTGCCTTCCGATCTAGGCCCTCCGGGAGCAGAGGCTGCAGCAGCAGCACCAAGCCCACATTATCCCGATTGAGGACATCCAAGCCAGGCCGGAAATATTCTATGGGACTGAGGCTGATCAGCTGGAACCTGCTGTGTTTATAGCATACTGCACAGCCATCTGTCTTCGTCCCAGTTCTCCGTTTATAGAAGCATGCAAAGCCTGAAAAGAAACCATCACCTATTAAAAGGTTTATCCAGTCATTACCTCAGGCTCCCTCCATCAGCTGGGGAGTTCAGCAAGTTTATGTAGCAGAGGAGATTCCTACTACATCTGGATATGGCATTATACCCAATTCTGTTCCAATAATCACAGTTTATCATTTATCACTGAGGATATTTTCTCCCTCCTTGTCCTTCTAGGACCCTCTCACTTTTATTACACTGATCTGTCAACTATGAGAAAGATCAATTACAAAAGAAAGGGTGAAAGTCTAGGCAGACAGTTCAGAAGTAGGGCCAGCTGCCATGTGACAAACAGGAAGAGCTCTCTTGAGACCACATGCTTTGAAGATGTTAAGCAGGAAGCGCTGCTTGGCCAGTTCCATGAGCTGAAGGTACAGATACACAAAAGCAGGACATACCCATCTCCTTGAACGTCGGCTCCAGCTGCTCCCAGTAATGGTTCTCTTGCACCTCCTGGAGACACAGAACCTGGAAGGAAGGCAAAGACCTCACTCGCTCCACCAGTATTTGCTAATTACCTTGTTTTGGGGAAGGAAGAAAGTGGAAAAATGCACTCACATACCAACCCTGCAACCAGAAAGGTCATCACTGCAACTCTGTCTTGTACTTTCCAGATAAAGAGCAATAACCTTCTGGGTCACATTAGCTTATCATTCAGTTTTCCAGTGACGAGGCAGAAGATCCTTCATCACACAAAGAGGACTCAAGGAATAGAAAAAGTCATGAAGTCCTCTTCTATGCAGGCTTCCCCTTCTGTGCTGCCTTGTAAACCTGGTCCTTTCCTCCCCAAACACATATCATCTCTTCTTCCTCTACTTCTGCTGTTTAAAGAAGTTAAGCCCTCCTATCAAAGTATGACTAGTTTCTACAGTAACACAATCAAAGCAAGACAGACACCAAAAAAACATATGAACAAGGCCTCCAACACTCTAAGAGGAATCAGTGTTCAGTTACCAAGCAGGAAGTATCTTCCTAGAACTCCTCCCTCATGTTCTTTTTTTTTTTAAATTAATGCTCTTAGATCAAACAAGGAATTCAAATTCTGGTGACAATGATGTGCAAACAGCTCAGTCATACTCACATCAGGATCCCAGTGCTGGATCTCCTGCAAAAGGTTTGGAAGGCGGTAGTTCCAGTTCAGGATGTCTGGGTGACAGTGTAGGTAGAGATTAAAGCCTTGCTCCACCAGGTCCTGGGCAAGGATGTTGTAAGACATGACTCGAAATTCAAAAAGAGGAGTCTTTTTTGAGACCTGCTCCAGCACATAGGGCTGGACAGAAAGATCTTCCCAGTCTCTCCATAAAATCTCTACATGTAAGAGACAAAAAGCCAAGTTACAGCCATGCTGGGTACCCTGGTGATACTTTTGCCCCCCCTGGAACCCAGAAAATAGCCACTCTCATTCTCTAAGCTAGAGTGTTGTAGCCTCTGAGCAAATCCTCACCCATTCTGGTTTTCTGGTGCTCTTTTTGGATGCCTTTGGATAATTGTCAACGAGGATGACACAACAGAGGACCAGTCAAGAATACTGAAACACCTGACCAGCTTCTGCGTGCTTTTTATATTATATTAATATATATTATATTAATTTGAGAACAGTTCCTAGGAAATAAACATTTATTGATGTTCAGACCAGATGGTCTAATAGCACAGACACTACCAGCTGTGACCAGCCCTCCCTCAGCAAAAACTGACTTTAGTTTTCACTAGCAGATCCTGTCAATTCTGCATGGACAGATACAATCAATGTCTTACTGACAGCAAGCCCAGACACAATAACCTGACCACAATCACTACAAATGCAAATACCAAAATGAACATTACATTCAGAGCTGTTACTACTGACCATGGTAGGGTACCCCTGTCGGAAGAGGACTAAATTGTATCGTATCCTGAATGGGCCAGGCTGGGGGTTCCGTTGGCACTGTCTCTGCATCACGCGCTAAACTCCAGGCCAGCACAGCTGGGTCTTCATTCTGCACTTCTACACCAATAGCAGCACAGCCAGCTATCTGGTGATCTGCCCGTGGCACCACAGCTGCCCAAGGGGCACTGCCTGCTACAGCCACCGTTTCCTCTGCTGCTAATTTTGCCAGTTCGGTCACTGCATGATCTTGCGGTTCTGCAGAAGCCAAGGCATGTAGCTCTGTGAGCTGCTGACCAGCACACTGGGTGACTTCTGGAGCTGAATTCAGGTCACTGAGGCTAGTCATCAATAGATCTGAACCTTCTAACCAGTCACTAGTGAGGGTAACTGATACTTTCCCCACTGCTGGAGCACTCTCGCTGGCTGGCAAATTCCCTGCTCCTTCCTCCAGCCACTGCTGAAGAAGGGCTTCTTGCTCTTCTGGAACCGACCTTCCTCTGGCCGCAGCAAAGACACCTTCTATCTGGGTGGACGTGCTCTTCGCCAGAAGCACATTCTTTCGACAGGTAAAGAAAGCATCTGCCATTTAAAAGCAAACAAAAGCAACATAAGATAGATGGAAATCTTTCTTCACTTTTTTCTTTTTCCTATGCATTTGCTGAAACTGTGCAATACAACCATTCAATAGAGCAAACCAAATGACTTCTCTGAAGAAAAACAGTTACAGTCTGAATAACTTAATCTGCCTTCCCCTGAACACTAGGCCACAGTCCAATCCTAGTTACATTAGTCAAAGTCACTGAAACTGAACAGGATGGAAATGGCTTTACCAACTCTAAGGAATGCAGTTCTAACTTATACAGCATCACAGACAAGCTAAAAGGCCTTGTGGAAACTATCAGCTCTCAGCAACAAATGTAAAGTCACAGTCTGTAAAAGTTAGCTGATGGGGTCCACAGGCTAAGATAAGTCAAGCTCCTATAGATTAGCAATTGGAGCAAATTTCTTTCCAGGGATGAAGAAAGTAGTGTTCAGCTAAGAGGATCAAACATATCGCAAAAATGTGTAATGGAAGATAAATTGTTATTAAGAGATGAAAAAATAAAGACACAAAGGGACCAACTTATGCAGTTAAAAGCCTTATTACAAGGCATATATGCACACAGTAGTCTTGGTAAGAATTGCAGATCACCTAATGACTGACATCTCCAGTCAAACAATTTAAAAATCTCTGCTGTTGATACCACACTTGAATATACTAATATTGGTGGGGTAAAGCAGAAAGAAAGGGACTCTCTTCACTTGTATCTATATGATGGCATTAACATTTTGCTATGAATTCTGCAGACATTAGTCCCTACTGTTGACTAGCAATTTCTGTAGTCTACAAATCACTTTTACTCTGCTGTATCCCTGTGACAGTCAGTCAGCCAAAGCAATAACATACAGGAGTCAGCAATACCCGTGTATGCTTTTACTGTATCTTTCATGTCAAAGCTTTCTGTATGTGTCAGAAAAGGAGCTTTAAGAACCATACTCCTCTCCATAGTTTTGTAATTAAGCTCATGAACATCAGAAATACCAATGCACCAAGTTAATATTCACACACCACTAGCCAGGCACAGCTGTTACGAGAGCTGGTTACTACAGGATGGGAGCTGAATTTGAGAGGAGTCAGCTAGCTGCTCACTACAACCACAGCGTGCCAGTGGCTGCTACAGGCCTGTGGTTCAGGCAGAAGGGTGGCTTTGTATCAATGCAGTCACCAGGGACTCTGAAGTAGCAGCAAGATCTAAGAAAATAAGTGAAATACTGATGTATGCAAAGCAAGAGTCCATTCATGAGCCACGTACAGGTCCCTGGAAAGCCACGGACCTCAGAGTGGCCCATCTCCACAGACCTCCCCAAACCTGCAGCGCAGATCGGGCCCCCACGCAGACTGCAGCCTGCCACTGCAGCACAAGTCGGCCACCGTTCCCTCCAAAAACCCAGACCCCGGCCCGGCACAAGTGCCCACACCACCTCGAGCAGGTGCTGCAGGCCCCCA